CCTCAAGGCACACACACACACAATATATATATATCAGAGGCAACGCGCCGCAACGAACGGCGCTCTGACAAGAGCTGACAAGAGAGAGAGAAACTCACCACGGTGTGCCAATGAATACTGTTCTTACACTTCAACAGTTCTGTTGGACTGGCCTACCCGTATGAACGTAAATGCAGATCTAACGGGCACGGAGACCGTCACAGATCTGTCTCTATCTCGCGTAACAGCAGCGCTCTGGGTAGCTGTTCCCTCGACTTGCGTGCAAGACGGTGGTGCACTTCGGAAGCAAGCAGAAGGAGAGAGAAAAAAAAAGTGTTCGCTAAGTCACAAGAATGGAAGATGCGACCGTGGCGAACGGGCTCGAATACACGCGGTGTAAAGGTACAAGGAAAACAATGTAGCAAATAATAATAGTAATAATAATAAATGGGAAATGAGAAATTGCTGCTGTGAGCAGAACTCCCTCTTCTCCCTCCAGTAATGAAGAAAATAAAGAAGCAGTATAGAAGAAACAACTGGTGGGGACCCGGATTAGCAAAGCAGAAGAAAAAAAATAGATAAATAAATTATGCAAAAGAACACTGGAAGAGGAAACGAATGTCTATACCCACACTGTGAGATGTATGTAGGGCACACTTATGTGTGTGTGTGGTATACGTGAGTGCGTGATCGTGTATTCCCCCTTTTTGGAATGAAGTCGATCAACTTTCCCGTGTGTGTGTGTTGTGCAAGGCTCTTCGAGGGGCGGGGGGGGGGGAGGCTGATCAAGAGCAATTTAAAAAAAGTTTATAGCAAAATGTCTTTCTTGTTTTAAAGGCGTCTTACAAAAAGTTGGGAGCCACGCCGCTACTGTTGGCTTTCGCGTGCGTCGGGGACTTGCCAAAAGCCGCGTTATTATTTCGAATGTCTTTTTTTCCCTCCCCCTTCCAATCAGCTGACGTGCGGGGGAGTCTTCTTTGCGTGCTGCCCTAATTCCTGCTGCTTAGTCCGTTTCGTCAATTAGCGAAGTACGTACGTGTGTGTGCTCTTTTTTTTTCACCTGCACCACTGAACAGGAATGTGCTTACTCGTTTCCTTCTGTTGGTTCTCTTGCTCAGAGGAGTAGGACGACGCGCAAGGCCACCCCAGGTGCTCTCCTATACACGCACACACACACACACACACAAGAACGCTTGCGAGGTTGCAGCAGACAGCGCGGTTGCTTTAAGAACAGAAAATATATAGATAAAGAAAATCAATTGTGATGTGTGTGTGGGACAAATAATAACACTCGTAAGGGAAAAGAAGAGAAGAAAGGGAGAAAGGAGGAAAACATATAACAATTGCAGCATCACCACTCCAATAAATTGAGAAGTCGGCGAGGTGGACCAAGCGCACCATCTTCGTAAGGGAAGGAGGGGAGGAGGGAAGGGGGCTTACGCACGTAACTCCTGCCATACTTCGTCATTTCGTTTTTCTGTTTGTTTGTTTGTTTGACATGGTGTGGAAGCTCCAGGGATGCCGGGCCACAAAAAAGCTCACAGCGAAGCCTCACATATATTATTATTTCTCTTTCCCGGTCTCCCGTCTTCTTTTCACGGTGCAACAAGCGCTGATGCGCAACGAGATACAAAATAAATATCTCACAGGCGCTGAGTAAAATCAACAAGGTCAACATCAACAGAAAGTGGTGTACTGTGCACGAAAGTCTCAGAAAGGCACAAATCACCGCTTTGCGCCTCTTTCTCATCTTACCCCCCCCCCCCTCGCCACGGAGACGGCGGAGAAGCGTCTTCTCCTCTCCCTCTGTCATCAGCAGCGTATCTTTATCGGAAAAACAAGAGCGCAGCTATTCAATGAGAGCGCCTGATGGAGAGCTGTGCGAGCTTGACGACGACGACGATGATGACCGCGCCGTAGATGCGCTGCTCGACGCATCCACGTCGTCACTGCTATTGCTGCTGCGGTCATTGTCATCGGAGCTGCGCGATGCGGACCCCTCCGTCCTCCGCTGCCGCTTCAACGCACGCTCCTTTGCCTTTTCCTGCCTCAGCTTTTTTCGCTGCTGCTTCAGCACGCGCCGCTGTCGCTTTTTAGTCTGAGTGCTTTCGAGCTTCTCCACCTTCTCCTGATGCTCCTGTCGGCGCTGCAGCGCTTCGGCGGCCTTCTCGGCGGTGCTGCGCAGGTGTTGCTGTCGCAGCTCCTCCCGCTCTTCCGCAATGCGTGTGATTGTGTTTGTCTTGCCGCCGGCCCCGGCGATGGTGGAGCGCAGCCGCGGCAAGGAGCGCATCGTGGCGATGCCGCGAATGTAGGACTCATGCTCGCATTGCAGCCGGGCATCGCGCGCGGCCTTCTCTTCGGGCGTGAGAGGCGGCGGAGGCGTGGTGGCGGAGGGCGAGCCCGACATCCTTGAGACCCTATCCACGGTTGACAGAGAAATACCAAGAAGAGGGAGAGAGCGAGAGAGAGAGAGAGGGGTGTGTGAGATGGCGTTTCCGCGATCAAAGGCTAACGTCACGTTGCCGTTATGCGGTGACTCGTCGCGGACTCGCTTCCGCAACGCATTTAAGAAGGGAGGTACTACAAGCCAGTGCTTTGTCTTTCTTCACGGAGTGGGGGGGGGGGGCCTGCCTGCGGGTCGCCCACTCAGCTTGGGTAACGGCACCGGTTTTTCTTTTCTGTTAATGCTTGCTGAGGTATGGGGGAAGGGGTTCTGTCTAGTAAAGGGAGGCGCTGTCGGAAACGAAAACAACAAGTGAAGGAAGTACTATCGAGTACCGCTGGATCTCGGGGGGAGAGGGGAACGTGCAGTTTGAAAACAATAACAGAACAACAGCAAACCAAAAACAAACAACACCACACCATGCGATAGGGAAAGAAGATGTCATGAAACGTGGCTCCGCGCAGCACTCTAATTTTCGCTCCCCGGCTGCTTCCGCTGCTGCAGCTTGTGGTTCAGGACCACCATCGAGGGCTTTCTATGCGTGGCTGCCCTCTTGGCGCTTCGATCGCCCTGGCCAGAACTTACGCTGCCCTTCTCATCCATGGCAGAAGTTTTCTTTGCTTTACGCTTCCCCGCCGCAGAGGCAGCGACCGAGGAGGGTTTGCCGGGAGGGTGGCGCGGGTGATTGACAGAGCGTGGCTGCAGCGGCGACGGCGCGCGTGCTGCGGACGCAGTGGGCGCGGGCTCAGCAGACACCGTGCGCGGCAGCACAAACTCGTTCACTGCCGATGCTGCCGTCGCAGCTGCAGAGGTCGCGAACAACGTGCTCCGATGGGCCGGTTTGCGTCGTATGGTGGCCGCGCTGCCACTGCCGTTGCCGTTGTTGGTGCTGTGGCTCGGGTAGTGAGATGCGGTGTTCGCCCTGTCCGCACGACGTTCGCGACGCGTGCGCCGTACTCGCGGCACGTCCGCCTCTCCTCTTTCAACAGGCAACTGATGACGCGGGAGAGGAGAAGCGGAGGCGTCTGCTGTGCTGGCGAAGCTGCAGTGAAGCTGTGTGTCGTTTTCGTGGACGTCGGTGTTGATCGGATGGCTGCGTGCGCGCTTCCCGCCGGCCACGGGCGGCGAAGAAGTCGAGTAAGAAGACAGGCCTCGTTGCTGTGGTGGCGCATGCGGTGAGGATGACACGACGCGCGTGGGGGACGCAAAAGGCTCGAAGGTAACACCGTCTGGCGCAGCAGCATTCCGTCCATTCAGCGGCGGTGCAGACACCATCGGACAAAACCGAACTTGCGGCTCCTGCGGCTGCGGCGACACGCTCCACGCCGGCGTCTCCGACACCGCCGCGCGCACCGACGGCGGGCGAAGTCCAATCGCGCCCTCCGGCAGGGGGTGGTACACCTGCGGGCCCGTTGCCAGGCCTCCGCTTTCGGTTGGCGGCCCATCCCCACGACTGCACTGCAGACTCGGACTGCGGCCCCCTTGGGCGAGGGAGTGGGCGTAGACTCGCTGCTGCTGCCGGAGCAGCGCCGCTTCTGCCGCCGCCGCCCAGGTAAAGTCCATCGTCGAAATCGACCGGCGTGCGTGCACGTCCGGCGGTGGTGAGGTCCCGTGCGGAGAGGAGGTGCGCCGCGGCGCCGGAGAAACGGAAGGGATGGGGGTGTGCGGAGAAGCTTCCGTGGGGCGAGCACTGCCGCTTCTGTCTGACATGGGCGTACGTGCGTCGTCCTCTCCAGTCTTGGCGGTGATGTGGGCGGCTGGGACCGCCGCGGCGGTGTAGCGCACATCAACGGGGGTGCTGCTCATGCCTGTCGTGCCGCTGCTGTTACCCGCCGACCGCTGCGGTGGCGAGCGAAGTTCCGGCGATAACGGCGTGGCGCTGATGGGCGGCTGCTCTGCTGCCACAGTCCTTTCATTTTCATCTTGGGCGTCTTCGTTGTTGTCCGCCACCCGCACGTCCTCCTCCCCCTCCTCCGCGCGTACGTACCCCGTTAGTGGCACTCCCTGTCCGCTGACGACGTCAGCGTGTGACGGAGTTCCCTGCTGCGACGTCGACGAAGGCAGTGGGGTGGCGGTTACAGCTTCAACTTGTGGCGCCGCCGGTGAACAGTCGTGCTGCTGCATGCCCGCCGCGTGCGTCGACGCCCTCGTTGCTTCCATCGCCGCCACTGCCGACAGCGGCTCCGTGGGCTGTGCGGCCGTCAACGCTGCCGTACCCGGTGCAGGTGGAGGAGGGTGACGAAGAGGCAACAGAAGAGGTGCCTCCGGCGAAGTGGCGTGGCTTTCGATTTCCTCTTGGGGCAATACACCGTCTTGTGCCAGCGCCTCAGCTGGATAGCGCTCCTCCGTTGCCTCCGTACACACAGGCCGTTCGTCCGTCTTCTCCACCTCCACACTCGCCTTGCAGGCGTCTTCGTTAAACACCGGAGCAGGGGTGGCGGAGGCAGACCGCGAAAAGCAAAGAAACGGCTGCGGCGCCGGTGACCGCGGTGACACTCCCGCACTGGAGATGCTTCCCTCACTCGGCTCCCGCCGGCGTCGGCGTTGCAGCCGCAGCTGCATCTGTCGCTGACGTGGTGGACTGAACACAAGTCCGTCGCGATCTGCCAGGGGGAGGGCGGGGGCAGCTGACACCACCGGTGTGCTGCTGTCGCCGCCGCGGTGGTGGTCTTGACCGTCGTGCGCCGCGAAAAGCGGGCTGTGGAAAGAAGCAGAGTTTCCTCGATGAATCGCTGTCGTGATGTCGGCCGGTAGGGGAGTAGCGGTGATGGAGGCGGCGGCGTGTGCGCTTGTGTGTCCTGACGAGCCTGCGACGGGGGATGCGCGCAGGGAGATGAGACCGGTGTTCTCCTCTTCGTCATCGCCACTGCTGCCATGCTCTTCTTCGCCCACAAGAGCCCGTGCTACGGACTCCTGAGCCTGCCCCCTCGTTGGTGGTGAGAGACGTGTGCAGGACCGACGGCTTGGTAAGGGCGTCTGCATTGCGTACTGCTCCCCGTCTCTGCGCATGTCGCTCGTTGTGTCCTCGTCGCGCACGGGCACGGGCACCGCTTTATCTTCTTCCTTTTCTAACGGCAACGGCTCCTCCTGTCGGATGTCGTGTGCCCCCTTCACGGCTTCTCCTTCACCGCTATCCACAAGTGCCGCAGTGGCCACTGCGACGGACCGATCGGTGCGTGGCAGCGGCACGAGAGGAGACCCCACCTCCGACGTGGAAGCTGGGAGAACCCACTCTGGCGGGGAGGACACGGTGCCAGGGGTGAGGTCGGTCGCCACTGCCGTCCTCCGTCGATCCCGCGACTGCGGACGCAGCACGACCGACCCACCGCCGTCGTCGTCGTCATGGACGTTCGCTTCACCACACGCTTCTTCACACAAGGAATCAACGGAGCTGGACTCTGAGAAGTGCGGTGGGGACGCCATCACGGCGCTCTCCTCCGCCATCACACTTGCGGAGACGGTGCTGGCCGCTGTCGTCGTAGTACCCGGATGGACAACTGTGGGAGACAAAGGCGCGGACGGAAACCCACAGGACACGCGGTGAGGCAACGGTGCGAGGGTTTCTTCTGCCGTCTGCACGTTTGCTTCGATTGATCTCTCCGGTACAGCAACAGCAGCAGCAACGGCAGCGACGACGATGGCCTTATCGGAGGAGGAGGACCTCGTTGACCGTTCCAGTACAGAGTCAGAGGTCGCTGTCACCGCGCCAGTCGTTTTGAGCTGTGACTTTTCGCAGGCATCGGCCGCGGGAGACGGTGGAGCGCGCTGCGTGTGACCGTTTGCTGTGCGGGTCGTACTCGGAGGCGGAAGCGGCACTGAGGCCACCGGTGCAGACGCGCTGGGAGGAAACAATGCAGAAACCCAAGATGAAACTCGAGGCACCGCACTTCCCGAATGCGCACGCGGGGGCTGACCGCCGGCTGCCGCACCAGTCTTCTGTGCAGAGGGTGTGCCCTCCGTCGAGGGCGGGCTGCCGGGCGTTGTCGCACGAAGGTACATAAGTCGCTCCACGCTGAGGGAGGTGGAGGAGGCGCTGTACAGCTGCTCCCACAAGGCGTAGGTGCTTGCGTGAATTACGGCAGCCTCGCCGGCCGTTCCCCCGCTCTGCTGCTGCGACTGCGGCGACGAGGGTGCGACATGGGAGGGTGGGAGGGCGTGCAAGGGACAAAAAGATCGGGGGTGCATTTCAGAGTCTAGAAAAAGAGGAAAGTATAACAACGCAGAAAGCGGAGGCAGAGTGGGGAGAAATAGTAAAAAGAGGAGACTAGTCGAGACAACAGCGGGAGGCAAAACAGCAGCGAAAAGAAGATCTACGGAGACTGACAGCTAAGATGAAAGGTGATGAGAGTGGAAAATGCCTCCGGGCGTGAGGCGCCGTTGTGCGCGTCTACCTCAATGTGGATCTAGAAGAAAAGAAGGAAAAGTGGTTCTCGTCTGAGGAAACTGAAAATTCTCACCGTTGCAGAAAATCTAATAGGTGCACAGGTAGTGCTTTCGAAAGCGCTGAACACGTACAAATCAGACGGAGGAAGCTCAACGCACAGTAATGTCAAGTTGTTTCTGCATGGGGAGCGGCAAAAGGGAGCATTATACATATGGTGGACGAAAAAAGGAACGTGAAAGGGCGGGTGAGAAGAGAAGAAACGGAAGCAGACACTGAGAGTAAGACGCGTCATATCATCACCCAGCCTTTAAACATACTTCCGCAAACGAATGCGAACGACACGTAGGGCAGGCAATTTTCCAACACGCCTGGAAAAGTGTGTTCTTATCAGACAACAACAACAAAAAAGAGAACTCTTTTTGTGTTTGGCTCATCATCGCAGTATTTTTTTTTAAACATTTGGAATAGGTAGAAACTCTCGCGTCTCAAGACAATAAAGAACTCAAATTGATCACCGAACCTATTCTACTTTGCAAACAAACTTATATAATAAATGAAACCAGAAGTAAAAAGATTTTTTTTTTTTTGGCACAGGTTTCTTATCAGTGCGACAACACAGCAGATCTTGTGACCATGACATAACTGGCGTAGAAGCCTTGTGCACGACCTCACGTTAACGTGGGTTTACAAACCCCCAAAAGGGAAACGGAAAACAATAAACGAAGCAGGTAAACGGGGTAAACAAGAAAGAGAGTACCGCAACAACCGTCACGTACCACACAAGGAAAACGCCGTATTTATATATTTAGTGACCGAAAAGACAGAGAAATGCTTGGGGGAAGAAAGAAAAGTAATACAGTTTCAATCTTCGTAGGATAAAACGAATAACATCAAGAGCCACAGCAACTATACCTAAAGGCAACCGAAAAAGGTAAAGTCAGAGCGGAGAAACTAGGAGCGCTCACTCACTTCACACTAAAAAACAGAGTTTCAAAAGAAAAATACAGCTAAAGATACTCTTCCGACTGCAAGTTCACTCCTCCTTTTCAGTTCTCCTCTTCTCACACGTGGTGGAAAAAAAAAAACTACAATGGTGTTACAAAAAAAAAAAATGAAGTAACATCTGAAGTTATGCAGATGACAGGGGAGTTGTTGCATTTCATTGTGGTGTCTAATAAGCTGCCGCGACTGGCGTGCCGTCGACCGGCATCAGCAGATGCGATTGCTGCTCTCGTCTTTCATCGAAGTTCACGTCTGATCTCGTGGAGCATTGCTGTCTTTGTCTCTTCAGTTGAGGACAGGAAGCGGGTTGGAGAACGGATCCAAAGCGCTCCACCGCTTCTGCGACCGGCATCGGCGAACGAACCGACGCAGAGGGCACGTGCAGCGGTATTTTTGGGATCGGGGAGAACAGATTTTAATTCTGGCTGAAGCTGTTCGCTGAAGGTAGAAGGTCTGCGTCACAGGTGAAGAACAGAAATGCAACAGTGCAGTCGCAAATCAGCGTCAGAGCTCCATCAATGGAGGGATATGTAATGTTGCCAGTTAATTCCATTCGCCACTGCAGACTCGGGTCATCGTCGCGACGACTTCTTGAGCCGTCATCGACGAACATCCGAGTGTCAGAGTTTCCAAGGGCAGACGATGACACGGTAAATGCGGACCTCTTCGACTGCAGCGGATTTCGTAGCGGCGTTTCCGTCAAGTCAGTAGGGGGATCCGCGGCTGCTACGTCCACCACCGCGTTCTTCTTACGGCTACGAGAAGAGTTGTTCTTCCTAACCGCCGACTTCCACGGAGAGCCGTTTCTTGAGTTTGTGTACGGACGGTCTGCGTTGGAGTTGCCGTTCTCATCAATGCCTACTGTTGGCGTAGGTTGCATGAGAGCGAAGTTGAAAGTTCCGCTCCACTTCCGCTTTTCAAGGGACTTGATAGCGTGACCCAGAAAGAGGTTCATAATGTCATTGACGCCGTCCACTGTGAGAGGCTTGTGCCCAATACCATGGCGCTGGGCAGCTAAACGGCTATGATTCACAGAAATTTCTGTTGGACGCTTTGCAAGTACTCTTTCGTACCCATTCATGTCACCCTGAGACTTGTAAAGGCATTCCGAAATGAGCGCGTTAAAGTAGCCGCTAAGCTGCATAGCGAGCGGGCTTTTCTCGTTGGTGCACAGGCGTATGAACGCATCTGACTTCGAGACATCATCGTTGCCTCGAAGCACAGACTGTGATATACCGCAACCCATTTGCTATGCAAATAATATTTATTAAATCAGTAACTTACGTTGTTTCGATGGCTGCCAAATTATGCAGAAAGTTGAGTTTTTGAGAACTCCAACTAATAATGGAGGTTAAGTGAGCCCTCTTTGAAACGGTTCATTCGCGAAGGACAAGACAAAGAAGGAAAGAAGGATGCAACAACGAGAAAGGGAAAAGTTCCACGAAGGAAAACGAATCAAAAGTTGCACAGGAGCGAAAAAAGAATCCCCCAATTCTGTCGATGCTGATACAAGCAAATAATCTGAAAAGTCAAGAAGCTCTCCTTCAAATTAACGTGCTATTAAATGTGCGAATGCAATTTCGGAGCCGGTAGTACAGTTAAACAACACCGCCACTTTACCGGTTTGTATCCTTCGTTTTTACCGTAGCGACCTAACAGAGAGTGGTGTCATTGATCTGTGCACTGAAGTCACATTTTTATAGTCCAATTATCCATAGATAAACCCCCCAAAACAAACAAAAAAAGCGAGAGAATGTTACTAAATGATTTCAACAATACGTTAAAAGAAAAACAAAATAGGAAACTCGTTCAGCTAGCTAGGAGTAAATATGAGCAAGTGAAATCAATAGCTTTTTTTTAAAGGAAGGATATCTTTTCTTTTGATGGAAAGATTGGGTTACGGTGTTAAGAAGAACGATCATATAAAAGATAATAAAGAACGATTTTGACTGCAAGGAAAAAACATGTAAATCCAAGAAAATGAGGAAATAGTTCCAAACTTCGAAGAGTAATATTCGTGATCAACATCTTATACTCGAGGTCTTTTTCGTGTGCGACACTTCGTCCACCATGCGCACCGATGGCTTCTAAAAAAACTTCGTTGCTTTCGTAGTTCTGCTGATGCCTTAGATAACTACGAGATTTATAGCGGCGGCAGCCGAGAAGAAAGTCTTCTCTCCTCGTTTCGAGGGAAGCGTGTGACGTTGTCTGAGCTGCCGCCGTTACGGGGGTTTAATTGAAGTGCATGCAGAACATACAACGGTTGGGTGATGTCGTGGGTTTCAACGTACCGCGCACACACGTTTGGCGATATGACGTCTTGCCTTGCAAAAGCTGCACCATCAGCGTGCTTCTGAGAAGAAGGTATTGCAACCTTTTGCCTATCTGTTGGGCTCTTGGTGGCACAGTTCTTAGTGGGAGCGATGGGATTTGAGGCCACTTTAAAGTTTCTCCTTTTCAATGGAGCACACGTGGCTTCGAAGGTCGTTCCGGGCAAAGAGCGGTCGCACCTGTCAGAATCGGATCCAGTGTAAATCGCCGTTTTCGGTTTAGTATCTCCAAGAGGACTTCTGTTCTCAGTGAGTTGACTGAAGTTTGCATTGCACAAAAGATCGACTTTTTGGTTCAGCAGAGCCACCAAATTTTCGGCGTGCGCGGCAAGCAGCTGCTCCACTGCTGACAAAGAGTTGCTAGAAGGTAATCGGGTTGTGGTGGGGTTCGTGTTTGGCGGGACATCTTCTAGGCTCGTTTGCGTGCCGTGACATCGGTGCTGTTCCCTCGTTGCGAACAGCAATGCCGTCACATCAGAGCTTGAGTTCTGCATCAGCGTGCGTTGGCCTAGCAACGCCACTTTTCGCCACATTTCGGCTTCGCTTTCCGCTTCCTTCAACCTGTGCCGCAGCAGCTGCATATGCGAATCAAATGTGCGCTCCAGAACAGCATTCGCAAGTTTCTGGTGGTCTACGCAGAGTTCTGATACAGGCTTCGCAGCATCAAGAGACTTAGATGTGTCGAAGAAAGAAATGACATTGTTGAGAATTGTGTCTTTGACAGCAAGATATGTGATTGCTTCGCCGCTGTCTATGCTTTTTGGCACAGCAGTGTTCTTCAGTTTCTTCAGAAGTTCCACAATGCAGTCCGTTCGCGTTGTCTTCAACATGCACTCTATACTCTGTTGCCCTTCTTGAGGTCTGAAGCTGCACATATCGCGGAGGACGCACAGGATGTGCCTTTTACGTGAAGCGGACAGCCAAACAACAGCAGCAAATGGTTTAAGGTGATAGTAGAAAAAGAGGATAAAAGAGGTTAGATGCATTTTGGAAAAAAGAGAAGAATCCACTAAGAATGCTGCGAAATATATCAAAACAAGTACAGCAGCTATTCCACGAAATCGCCTCGCTACTTGTCCTTCAAAAAGAAATGTACATCGGCAAGTAATATGGCGCGAGTAAAAGAGAAGATGCACTTCGCTTTCACTTTTCAAGCAAGACGATTGCAAACTAAGGCAATGCGACAAGGTGGTCAGCAACCATCAGCCCCATTGAAAACTCTATTTCCCGTAGTGATCAAAATTACCATAAGAGTAACCCAGAAGTTCTAAATCTATATGTTTTTTTCTTTTTGCTCATTGGTAATCACGTACAATAAATACGAGAGCCAGAAATAAGTTCAAATAAGAGTAGCGAAAAAAAAAAAATCTGCTAAGAACACGGACACTGAATAAGGCCGGTCAAATACACCGGCTCCATTTCCCTAGAACTGTCTCTTTGGATAGAATCAAGTAAAAACATTAAGGTTCTTTTATTCCTAATTCCTACTTTCCCTAATCAGGCTTAGTACAGGACGGTCAAGATGGCCGGAAATCTTTTTCAAACAATATGACAGGAAAAAAAAAGAGAGAAACGAAAACTAGTTTTGACTCGTGAAAATCCGAGCCACAGAGTTTACTTGAACTCAGCGTACTGAGGAGCCTGCCCGTAGCGGTACCACCAAATGGCGAGCGTCACAACGAACGCGAAGAGCGTGGTGGAAAAAGAGGAGTACCAGATGAGGGACATGAACTCCTCATCCGTACCAGGACGAGAGTTCTGAGTCATGGCGTTTTCGGTCACACCCACCAAGTTGGTAGACTCGCACACGAAGAGCACACGGGTCCAGAGCTCCTGCATGTGCTTCTTGTAGTCGTTGCTCATCTTCTTGCTGGTCATGTAGCTGGTCAGGCGCTTCACTTCGTACTCGTCCTTCGGGATGATGCTTCCCATGTGGTCGAGCTCTACGGTGTTGGTGATGGTGGCAGCGTAGCAGCCCCTCTTGAACGTCATCTTGTCCTTCATGTAGTTCTTCACGACCTCGTTGAAGCGGATTTCAGCCGCGGTGCGAACCTTGGTACGGAACACGTGACGGCGCAGTGGGTAGTACACCTTACCCACCTCTTTGTACACAAACTTCTTCGCCAACGGACTCGTGTAGTTGCACATCGGGTTCGACTGACCGCCGAAGGTGGCCATGGCACCCCCGAGGGTCATGTTGCCAAAGTTCATCGTCATTTTTGCGAATAGAAGATCGATCTGGTGTTCTAGATTACCTTAATTTAACTGGTTTGCGTTGCAGGAGCGCTGGAAATAACAATGTGGTAAGGGAAGTGAAAAAGACAGTAGAAAAAAGAGAACAAAAGAGAGAAGGATAATGCGGAAGCAGAAGGATAACAAAGCATTTTGAAGAATGAGAAAAATGGCAAGAGAAAAGTGCTACACCGCTTTGTTTCGAATCGTTGAAGTGCTTTGTCAGCACAAATATTGGTATGTTGCACAGTTTACTCTCTTTTTCTGTGTTTTTGCATTATGGATCTTTGTGTGCACGTGCTGCATTAAGTGTTCTTCGCTTTGGGTAATACTTGACATTCGCTCGATTGTTCAATTTAGTTATTTATTTTCATCATTCATTATTGGTGCAGTTTTTGTTGGTGATGGACCTTTCCCTGTGCGATGGTTGCTTTGCGTTCGGTAGTTTTTGATGGCGCTTGTTGTTATCTTTGGCCTGCAGATCGTCGTGGGGCCTTTTCAAGGTTCGTTCTTGCAACCTGTCGATTGAATTCTTCGCTTTGGAAGCGTTCCCTGTTTGTATTAGGAGGCGGGCCGGCGAGGCACTTTAGACGAGGAAAAACTCCGCCACCAGCTGTGGCAAACTGGGGGTAGGAAAAAGGGGAGGAGGAGCGCATTCCATTATTCTTTCTTGCGTTGCCGGGGCCGATTTGGCAGAGCATTCTGTTGTCAGCAGACTTTTGGCCTGGCGGTTCGCTCTTGCGTCTCGGTCTTTTCGGGACGGGGGGGGGGGGGGGGGTCTGCGCCGTTTCGCCCGCCCGCGCCT